CCATAACTCTTTACATTAGCTCATTTACAAAATTCTTGAGCACTAGAAAAATCCACCTGACTAGTAATTAGTGGAATGTACCTGTGAAGATTTCCCATCACAGTAATTTTTGCATGCCTGACCTAATTAAACCTATTCAGACATAGACCTCTTTCCTTTAAACCCATGTACAGGAGGGTTTTGACACACGGCTTAGTAAAATAAATTATTTCATGTTAGAAAACATACCTTCAGCCCAACTTTTGAAAGCAGAGATAGTCCTTTACAGAGTATTTACCATATGTTAGATAATCTATTAGAATGGATACATCTATGCACAAACAGAATTTTCTCTCACCCTGTCTTCACCATAACTTTATAAGATAACTCTTATTCCCATTGTATGGATGAGATAACTGAAACTCAGAGAAATAATTAGCCTGATGTCTTTGAGTCTGTAATAGAATCGGGATTCAAACGCAGGTCTATATGACTACCAGTGGCTGCTTGGCTGTGAGACACAGCCTTGAATGGGGTCTCACTGTTTTTCAGTGTGTTTCAGACTCACCTGGAGGGCTTGTTAAAACAGGTCACAGGGCCCATCCCCAGTGTCTCTGAGGCAGTAGAACCCAGGTTGAGCCTGAGAATCTGCATGTCTGTCAAGTTCCCAGGTGATGTTGATGAGGCCAGCCTGGAGTCTACACTTCAAGAACTGTTATGCTGTATCATCCTGGGGCCTTCCTTTATGGCTCTAACAATTACCTAAAAGTCTTATTTTGTGGCTTACAAGTATGCTGGCATACAGGTTATTTTTGAACCATAAATACACATTTGAACCAGCAATAGAGAAGCCTAAAGAACGGTTTGGAATAGATTCATACCTTGCCCTGACTCTCTCCCGTCTTATTCAAAATGTTAATGCACTTAGAGCTAGGAAGTGCCTCTGGATTATTGCAGACTGTTCAGTTGACTATCGTATAAGGGTTGGTTCTTTTAGGAAAATGTGTCTCATGTCCTGTTACTTAATTAGCTTGGTCATGATGAGAGGGAAATTCCACTAACAAAGGCAAATGAAATATTTATTCTACTGTTTAAGTAATCAACTCAGGAAGAGGTACCATCTGCAAAATATCATTGAAAGGAAAAATCACAAAGGTCACATATGACATCAGGTCAGAGAACACACATGATGGGAAAGTCTGTTAATGAAGTACTTTTACAGGACCTGCGTTTCCCCAATATCTTATTTCATCCAGGGTAATCCAGCCGCTAAATCCACACTCATAATCTGATTGTTTCGTTGTTACAGAGCCATCCCTTTGAATCCATACTTTGTACCAGCTTTGTGAGAACATTACCAGCCTGTAGATCATCAGAATTTCATGTTGATAAATCAGTATTCTGGGTCTCAGATCCCTCATCTAGAAACTAAAAGATTTCGATTCAGTGTCCTTTTTGGGATCTAAGATTTTCATAGTATGGGTCAATGACAAAGAAAAAACTGTTTCAGTACTAGTAAATGAAAACCATCTCATTGCTGTCTTAATATTTGGATAGTCATTAATAATTTACCACGTGCCTATATCTCAAAAATGGATCACGTGTAAAGTAAGTTGGACCAGTCATTGACATCTAAAACCTTACCGGCCACAAAGAAATCACAACCAAGAAATACAGAGAAGACACAGACCGTGGTTCTTAACCTTAAGATGAAGATCTGATAAACAGCTTTAGACCACCGCTCCTGGAAAATGTATATACATCTCTAAATTTCCTACAGTTTTAGCTGGTATAGGACCCCCAGTGGACCCCAGTAAGGCCTATGCCATAAATAGTCTAATGGTAAATAATGAATGCACCTGTTAGATTATAAAGCAATGGCAAATTACATTTGCATGGCGAGTCTCAAAAAAGAACTACAAAAGTCTCACACTTCAGCAGAAACTCAATGAAAGACACTCCTAAACATTCTGAAAGTTCTAGCATAAATGGTTCCTGCTCCCATAAAATATAAGTAGATGAGAAGAGCAATAATTCTTGTAGTGAGGGTAGAGGGATATGACAGTTTAATAAAAAGGGTCTCAGAAACCAAGTGCGTGAGAATAATTGTCTGATTTTTGTTTGGAAGTTGAAGCACAACACAGGCCCTTACACAAACATAGCTTAAGAGATTTGCTGCTGAGCTGTTCAGAATTAGTCCCCAAACATCTAGTCTGGAGTCGNACTGTGACAAGCTCAGCCTACTTGCACCCTGCCAGGACATTTTAATGACACCTCTTGTCTCTGTAGCTCTTAAGCACTTTGAGGGAATGAGTGGGGTACAAAGTAAAACATCCCTGCTTTTTCCTTACTCCTCACTCCTCTGTCATCTTCTGTAATTTAAATGTAATGTCATTGACCCTGTTTTGATTTAGTTGAGGAAAGAAAAAAGCTAAAACTTTCAGGGTCTCATTTGTTAAAGCCATTTTCCCTTTTGTATTTCCAATACCTTTTTTAAAAACTATAATCAAAGAATACCTTTCTCTGTGTCTATATAGACAAACACGCATCTAGAACTTTCTACCTTTTTCTTTTATACATATCTATTTCAGTCACTTGTTCTCATTACAACATGCTATAACTGAGACTTCTGCAGCTTTACCCTGGGAGCTTTTCAATCATCAGCATTCCAGTTGTTTTTGTTGTTTTTTTCTAGACATTTGTTGTTTCAAACAAGTTGGTCACTCTTTGTTGATAGAATTCTAACTGCCCAGAAAAATCTCAGTTTCAGTAACCAGAGGCTCAGTGATTTGTTGAGAAAATCCCAGTAGTGTGGCGTAATCTTTCCTCCTTTTCCATATTTTATAGATCAGGCCTAAGTGAAAAGGCTGGGGTTTACGAAGGCCTGCCTACCTAACAAGGGGAAATTGGCCTGTCTTCATTTCATTATTTCCCTTCAGGATTTCAACGACGAATTCTCAGATCTGGATGGCGTGGTTCAACAAGGAAGGCAAGACCTGGAAGGATACAGCAGTTCAGGCTCTCAGACTCCCGAATCCGAGAACTCGAGAGGTCTGGGAAACTTTTTTGTCTTGACGAAAATTTAATTCTCCATAAAACATCTTTATCCCATCCCTAAAAACAAAACAAGGAAAAAACTTGTCATCCTAGTTAACAATTGGAAAGGGAATATGGGGAAAGGATAGTTTGAAAGTTCCAAAAAACGGAATCGCCTATGTGGTAAAAATCCATTTCCACTTAAACACGTTTAATAAATGTCTCTTAAATCGACATAATACTGGGTTGGTTGAAAGAGAGAAACATCTGTTTTCTTAAGCCCTTCTCTCAATAATATTATTAATTGTTATAGCTGGCTCCTCCCCATGAGTCAGTGGGATAAGGACAATCCCCAACCGCTCAACCAACTTATGAGAAAATCCAAGTATGTTCTTGGTCGTTATGCATGTTAAGAGATTGATTTGCTTTTGTGGTTGATCCTTTGTGTTTAAATGCTCTGAGGAGAAA